CATCATTATCAACTTTGTTATTACCAGCTTTATCATCATTATCAACTTTGTTATTACCAACTTTATCATCATTATCAATTTTATTATCATCAGCTTTATCATTATTACCAACTTTATCATCAATATTACTATTAATTTCATAATCATCAATTTTATTGCTAAAATTAGATGAATTTATTGTTGATTTGCTAATAAAATAATTTTTATCAGTTTCTTCTCTTAACAAATTCTTATTAAAAGTTTCAATTTGATTCTCTTTTTTATTATCTTCTAAAATAAATTCAACTTCATTTAGATTAATTGGTTGAAAATCAGAAATAGAATTTAATACTTCCTCTACATAATAATTATTTAACTCATGTGTGGATAAACATTCTGAAATTAAAGAATCCTCTTGTGTTGCAATTTTCAACTTTATCATTAATTTAAACATGGAAAACATGGGTTTCTAAAAATTAAAATTTTCTAAATTAAAAATATGTGGAAAAATGATCATAATTTATTTATTTTTTAAACAAAAACAATTAAGTATTTTATAACTTTCTTTAAATCATTTTTAAATTTTGATTTTTAAAAGAAATTTATTAACAAATTTCAAACCTTTTCTGTAAATTGTTATTTTTAAATTTACTTAACCTTTGAGTAACCTTTATGTATAGATATTTATAATCTTTATATGCAAAATAGATACCAGCAGAATATAATATTATAACTGTTCCTGTTTTGATTAATGTTTTAATTCTTATTGCTTTTCTTATAAAAATTCCAATAATATCTGCTATTAAATCAAATATTAAAATAAATGAATAACTAACGATCATCAATTTTCTTGTTAAAGGTTTTTCTTTTTTAAATTCAACATGAATTAAAACATAAAGACATACTTTTATGAATAACTGTATAAATCCTTTAATTGTAAAAATAGACTCGATTATCGGATAAACCTCTTCTAAATCAACAGTTGTTTCATAATTGTAGTTTAGATTAAATGCAAAGGCATAAAATAAAAATGCAAAATCTAATGCAATTAATAACTCTAATCCTGATAATACTACAAAATTAAATTGTCTGATTTTAATTGCACTAAACACATCAGGATTTGGTGAAATACGATTGTAATTTTCAAACATAAAAAAACTTATTTCATAAGTAAGTTTAGAATTAAATCTCAATTCAATAATAAAAAGCACAAATAGTGTTACGAAATAGATATAATAATACCTTGTTTGATTTTCAAATTCTTTTAAATCGGTAAATAATCTTATTGTAAAAAATAAATCAGCTACGCCATAAAAGGAAATTAAGTTGATATGTAAAGTAGTAAATCTTATAGTATCTAAATTTATAAAACCATCTATACGTGTTTTATATATCCATAGGAATATTACAAATAATCTAAGAACTCTTATGTTTATTTCATTTTTTATTCTTTCCGGTGCCTCTTTAGGTATGTTTCTAGAAAGAATTAATACTATTAAACTTTTTATTATATAAAAAGCTATGTTAAACATAACTCCTTTCTTAAAATATTTTTCCATATAAATTTTTCTATTGTTCATTTAAGGGAAGTTTGTTTACAATTTTTTTATCATAAAATCAATTTAATTTGACAGTTT